TTACGGTGAAGGGTAAATGGCTACCTATGCTTAGGTGCTTTGAGCTAACATGTTGAGCACAAAGAACAGTTGAGGTTGACGGGAATGTCCTTAGTTTTGCAGGAATTTGGTCATAAACAAAAGTATTGGACAAACTATAATTTTGGCCGTAGATAGAAAGTTAGAGAGTCAAGTTATTACAGTTCATCCTCAGTCCATTCAATAGTTAGATTTTTCACTCACACACCACAAATGTCAACTTCATGGTGGAACAAGAGGTAAAGTCAAAGTCTTTAGGATTCATCATCTGAGAACCACGAATAAAACTTCATGGGAATCCAACCGATATTTGTAGAGATATATCAGTGGTGGATCGAGCGACAAACCAACATCCTTAGAGCTATGAAACTAAAAAGTATAAACTATAGTGACACACAAATGTCTTTCTCTGTGCAGGTTCACAGACATTAACACACAAAGGAACACAAACATACGCTCCTTTCATCACTTTCGCTGACACCCATGAGAGCTTATGAGTGTCTCATTGCTGCGTATCATGTCATTATCTCTGACATTCAGTTCCTAAACGGCTTCTCCGCCACAAACCTCAGACAGACAGAAACACAGTGAGAACTGCTTGTTGACAGTCACACTTTCAGATGCTTCAGCATTTTTTAAACGAGGAGAGACGTGGATGCAGAAATAGTGGAAAGAAAATTCTGTTTCAAGTTGCAGAAAGAAGCTGTGAGGAAACATCTTTGTCAAAATTCCAGCAAAACACAAGAGAACAGGAATATTTCAACAAAGCCACTATGAACTAGTGCAAAAAGCACTGCAGTGCTACTATCTGTTACATCTGTTTTAATGCCAATATAAATAATTGCTCTGTTACCAAAGTACCAAAACATGTCAGTCTGTCTGTTTCCACTGTGAGTAAAAATGTTTAAAAATGTTTTTGTTTTGTTTTCACTCTTAAACAACATTTTGTTTCTCTAGACTTCTCCTTCGTTTTCTAATATTTGTTTCTGAGACAAGTTCAGATTATGAATATGTATATATACACACATCTATATAGTACATATAAACAGACAGATATTCTCACTGTGGGACGGCCTGACAGCTCTCTTCGCAGATGTCTTGCAGCTGACGTGCACGTACACTGATACATCTGCAACCGCACACACTCTGACCTCAAACACACTGAAAATATTTTTATGAAATGACTGACGCATCCAAAAAGAACCCACAGCATTATACTCAGCACTACTCAGCAGTACCAGCTCTGGTTTGAAATGTGCTGAGTTAATCCGCCTTATTCTGGGTGAAAAAAAACACATCAGTGTTGACAAACGGGGGAGACAAACCCAGTCGGCGCTCTGTGACGACTGAAAATATTAGAATTGGTGCTACTGGCAGATGAGATGTAAACATTGGGGGGTAACGTGGGCTTGTTCAGGACGGCAGTCGTAGTATTTCAGTTTGGGTCGACTAAACGTAAGATGCTAATACAGCCAGAAAAATGTCCTTACAAAATCTCCCATGAGATATGGATAAGATTTGTATTTTATTTTAAAGGGATAGTAGGAAGCCATTGTAAGTTGGGGCCCTTTGGGGGGGTGAAACCCGTTTCAGTTGAAAGGTAAAACAAAGCTAATGACAATGCCAAAAACTTCCACCTTAAAACAAGATTAAAGTGCGCTCTAGGTGCTGGAAGCTGGGCAATCACAACTGGTACAAAAAAAGGAAGAGGAGCACAGTCTGCGCAGTCTTTCATGAATAGACCTGCTGCAGGTAGACAAGGCAACTTAATAATTAACCTTGACACACATTAATCCATGAAAAAGTACTAACCTCTTGTTAAACTTTACAGTTTTAGCTCCATGATACTGGCAAAGTTTTCCAAGAATAGGAACATTTTCAGTATGTTGTTGGTTTCACCCAAAATGCTGTATGTGTATTGTAAAGTATAATGGATATCATTGCAGCTAAGAGCAACGTTTAGCAAGTGCAGACAGAGTGCAAGTGTTTTGAGTACTCTCCAGGCAGTGTCATTCAAAGTTTATTTCTCTGGAAAGTTTAATATCCCAAGATGTTGTAAGTACTGTGTAAGTGGCAAACACTGAACAGTTTGAGAATGAGAACAGAGATTAAATGGTAGCATAATTGTAGATAGCTTCAGTCCAAAAACAACTGGTAACTGTTTGCATTTGAGAGAAATGTTACATTGCTCTAACTTTAGCCCCAACACCACAAATTATAAACAATCTTGGAGATATTGTGTAAATAAGTCATCTATGGGGCTTGGAAGGTCTTTTTTTCATTTTGTCTGAGCTAGGCTAGCACTTTCCCTCTTATTCCAGCCTTTGTGCTAAGCTACGCTTAACAAGTCCAGGACCAACAATAGCTCTGCATTGACAGAAACAAAGTCAGTTTTCTCACCTGACTCTGGGTAAGATGTCAAAAAGTGGTTATTAAAATGTTGTTTCTTCAAAGTTTTAGCAATAAGGTTAAAAACACAATTAAAACTGATGTTAACATGCTAAACATATGTGGAAAAGCTGGTGAATGCATTTATATCACAATTTTCTCTTTTTTTCTCCCCATAAAAAGTTCTTATATATTTGTTGACCCATCTTGAACTAACTCTTTAAGCAATGCATTTTTCTATGGAAAGTCATAAGTATCATGATTCAAAAGTATGCGAGTGTGTGATGGATGCCAAACGTCCTGTAACTGTTTCCTGTAAATGAAAGTATTCTGGATGTCTGCACTAGCACGCTCACACGTACGCTGAGTTATTGAAGCACTACAGAGACACAGTTGTGTAATATTATAATACAGTCTGGTGTGGTCTGCACAAACACTCTAACATGAACCAGACCTGCTACACACCCAGCTGTCTTCTAGGAATTACACACACAGACGCACACAAGCCATTCTTGGTGAGTGATGCATTGTGGGTGTGTGTTGGGGTCCAACGTTTTATTGAAGTAAAGTGGAATTTGGCGCATTATGAAAAACACACTGAAACACATGTAAGAGCTCAGACACATGATTTTTACGATGTCTTATTCATTTTCATTATGATTAATCTGCTGAATAGTTTCTTGATCATTCAGTCTGTCCATCCACAGTCTGCTAAAGGTCAAGCTGATGTCTCTAGATAGTTTGTTTTGTCCAATCAACAGCCTAAAACCTCAAACTTTACTATCATATAAGAGAAATAAATTTTTACTACTGAGAAGCTGAAAGTAGACAATGTTTGCTTTTTTGAGTTAAATGATCCATCAGATATCTGGGTGGATTAACCAACTAACTGTTTCAGCTCTACATGGTTGCATTGTTGTTTGTCTTTTTTATCATCATGAACAGCCTTTATTCTGAAGATGAGACAGAAAATACAGTTATTCTAATAATCTTGCCTGTACACCGCCTCTCTACCACCGTCGCCGCACTGCAAGACAAAATGTTTGACTACAGCGCACTCTTGTGGTGACGCCTCTCTGAGTTTTAATAAAATATAAAGTGGTGAGAATTAAATCTACAGCTGAAATAAACCATGAACCAGTTTTAACCATAAATACAACATCTGTCAGCAATGCCCGTAGTTTTGACTGTTAAAGGCAAATTAAGATATTTTGTGCCAGAATTTAGACCTGATTTTACAATATTATTTACTACTATAGTATAAATAGTTAAATGCATTTATACAGTCATAGCACTTTATTTATTTTGTTTGGTCGTAACATTGTTGTTCTACTGGTTCTAAGTTAAATAATTAAATATTAAGCCAAAAAAGGATAAGAAGTCTTTAAGGCACTTAAAGATTGCGGCCCTCAACCTCAGACAAACCTTGGGAAAGTCGCCCCCCCCTTACTTTATTTAGTTTGCTTAGTTTTGCTAATATATAGCCCAATATTGCTGTTTGAAATGACCAGACCACCAAATACATAAAGGTCTGTCCTAAGGCATTTATTCGTTTCTGACTCTGAGAAAGTGGGAAAATTCCTCAAAACTAGCAAACTGTCTCTGAATTTAGGCCATTCTATATGTTCTCCTTTTGATAATTTAATATTTACTTTATATACTTTCATTCACTGAGCCTCCCCAGAAATTGTTTGGAGCCCCCCTGGGGAGACCCGCCTCCCACTTTAAAACCTCCCCCCTGCTTTAAGGTACTTAACGTAAAACTGGACAAGCTCAGCCATGCACCTGCTCTAAAAACAAAATGTACTTATTAGAGCCGATCAATACGTCATGACAGAGCTTATCAAAGATATGCCAGTATCTCTCGGCAGGTAGGTAATAAGAAATCTAAAAACAGTGTCTCCATTACACAGTTTGTCCACCAGAGACCACTGAATGTCCCACTATAAGGACATTTCTTGATCATCTTCTATATACTGAAGAAGCTCCAGAACAACTGCTAATCTGACCTCTTGATGAGACTTTTTTCAAATAATTTTACATGACTATTAGGCAGAAGTTGATGAAGGTGGAAAAGGCTCCTATCAAAGCCACAATGATAATGAATATAAATAATAAAGTGTAAAACTTTGTTTGGATAACACAAAACTCAGAGCTTCCAACAAACTGCTGCTGTAGAGATACTTAACTCTATTGTAAATATGTAATCAAAGGTCTTATTACAATGTACAAGGTAGTTTATTAGTCATTATACAGCACAAGGCTGCATAATGAAACATATTTTGTAGCATATTAAGTAAACATATTAAGTGTAGGCCTATATTAAAAACAGTATATACAGTTATTTATATACATACACCCCAAACATTCCACAGGCGCTGCTTGAATTTGTATCTGGGGTGAATGTAAACAGCAGCAACCAGATGATAGCATCATTGATTTAGTCCACTTCCTCTCCATTTATTAGATGCAAACAACACTGACTGGATGAGGCGTTAATTTAAATAAAGGGAAACATCTAATGCTGGTGTTTTATAAATATAGAAAGAAACAGGAAGTAAATTACACACACATACAATGCGGTGTGTACTCACATGAGGCGGCGTGTTGTTGTTGAGCTGGTCCTGACTGACTGAAGCTGCAGGGTGACAGTCCAGAGACACTCGGTCCCGACAAGCCGTGTGACATGTGTACTTACAACCTGCAGAAAAATCAAATGATTAACAGATCAATCGATTGATTCACTGATTGTGAAAGTAAAATAAGTAAAGTCACAAGTGAGGTACGAGCAGGTTTGTCCATACATAATGCACGGAAAAGTGAATGTGTGTCTGTAACGTATATGCAAATAATCTCTTGATATCGACAGAGAGGCAGTTGAGGTGAGAGATCCAGTTTGCAAATTAAATCCAACAACATGCAAATTCTGAGCAAAATATGAAGGAGGAAAATTTTTCAAATCAAGGACACGCAAGATTAGAGCTACAGTAGTGTGCAAAAGTGTTGGAAAGGTGTATTTTTATGAATATACCATAATTAATCAATTAGAAGCCTATTTGACCTCTGTCCTTTTACCTGGCCTGGTAATTGTAAATGCTCTGTATTTGTATAGCACCTTTCTAGTTTTCTGACCACTACATTGCATTCACCCAGTTCGGGGCTCAGTATCTTGACATGGAGCGATCTTCTGATTAGTGGGCAACACGCTTTCCCTCCTGAGCCACAGCCGCCCTGTGGCAACACATTTTGACATTTAAACTAAAACTAAAAATTAGAAGTCTGGTCTGGTTTTTCTTCTTGGATGTATAAAACCTCTTAAAGGTTCAGTGTGTAAGTTTTAGTGGCATCTAGTGGTGAGGGTTGCGAATTGCAACCAGTGGCTCACGCTGCATTCAAGTGCTCCTCGGATGGTCCCATTTCCCGAGTTGTGAAGTCGTTTGTCCGACTTCAGCGTGCGCTCATGTGCTCTTTAGTCAGAATGAGGAATCAACATGACAAAGATGTGTTGGATTAGCATTATCAGCCTTTCTCAATATGGACATGCTACACATTGTTTGATTGGTTAGATTCTCCACAATCAAAATGATTCATATTTATCGGTACGGCAAACAAGGTAGATGATAAAGACACATATTTATACAAGTAAAATTCATACTGGTTAAAAAAAATAAACAATTTTATAGTTCCCATCTTTGCTGAGCACGAGTTTTGTGGTAAAGGAATTAAAGGCCTGTCCCAAATACAGGCATGGTGAGTTCAGGGATTGAAGCAAATAAAAGCTTGGGCTATTAATCGAAGTTTTATGGTGCATTAAATAGGATTGAATATGCCATACTCACACTGACACCCTCCAGCATATGACCCACATTCAGTCTGTCACTGCACCGTGCTACGTCACTAAACAACTCGTTGTTAGCTCAAAAATGATAAGTGAAGTCTGAGCTTACAGGCCAAAATTTGAACATAAAATTTGTGAACTGGCCTACTCTAGGACAGAGGCAGGACATTGTTGAAGAGATGATACGAAAAGGCTTAAACATGTTCTGAAAAGTTGACTTATTGTAAAAACAATCACAAGGACAAAATTAAAACATAGTATAAAAAAGGAGATCATTTCATTTTGTGTCAGCGTGTTATAGCGGACATGATTTTTGCTTTTGCTTGTGTTTCAACAAAACCAACAAGTGGTATATTAAATACAAATATTTCTTGCAAAAGTAGGCTAATAATTGCAAACATGTATGTAAACTCGTGTGTAAAAGAATAAGAGATCAGTAAAATGATCAAATACTGTCAACACATTTTGACGGCTTTATTGGACAGTTAACAGCAGAGAAGGGACAGGAAAAAACGGCAGAGTTATGGAAAGTTGCAGTTCATGTTGAGCCATGAACCATCAAAACTGGCCAGAATCCAGCAGCACCATTAAGTATTGAAATAGAGGTGGATACTTTTTTGCGCACTTCCTGTCAACAAACAAACATTACACACTCCAGCAAGCTGCACAAAGATGCTATCAAACACCTACACATCACATACCGTGTGCGTGTGTGTTTGTTCCCATTGTCCTACCTGGTGACCTTTTTTTCACGTGCTGTCCGACTTTATCCGACAGTTTGCACATGGCTGCTCCCATCTCCCATCTTCATCTTACACACAACCCAATACCCTCACTGAGATCAATTACATTACATCACCTCGTCCTCCACACACACACACACACATGCAGAGGGGTAAATCACACATACCAACACACTCTCTCCTCTCTCCCTGAAGCCTGTTCCAGTGTCTCTCGCCCGTGTTCTGCCCTACATTCAGCCTCTATCGGGCTTCAGATGCTGATTTGCGTAGCCACCACTCTCTCTGTCTCTGTGTGTTGTTGTGCTGAGTGGGTGATTTAACAGTCAAATGGAGGCCGCGGGGTGATGGACACACAGACAGGAGAGGAGGAGGGGGTGGTGATGGTGGACATGGGACTGCTGACTCAGTCATCCACATCACTTTCTCCTCTCTGTTTCTCTTTGCTCACTTACGTAGCTTGTTATGTCTACTGTGTGTGTGTGTGTGTGTGTTCTCTCCCGTCACTGTCTCTCCATTCACCCGATCACCCAATCATCCGTCTCGATACCTTTTGACAATGAACTTCATCCACAGAGGAAGAGCCTTCTACATCCCTCCATCCCTCTCTCCATCTATCCAAACATCCACCCATCCCATTATGCCATACTGCATGTGTTTATTTGTGCGTGGGTGAAAAAGTTACAGTCCTTCAAACTGCAAGATATCTCAACAACTAGCAGATGGATGGTCATGAAACTCTGTACAAACAGAGGATGAATCCTGATTGACTTTCGTGATCCTCTGACTTTTCCTCGAGTGCCACCACAAGGTTTTCTGGATTTAAATAAAAATATATCACCAGTGACCGGATGGATTGTCATGATGTTTAGTTCAAACATTCATGTTCTCCTCAGGAATTTTAATAATGTTGGTGACTCTTCTATCGAGCGCCATCATCACTCACACTAAATTTGTCCACTAGTTTCATTTATGACCAAATACCTTTAAAACTAATAACATTCTCATCAGCCTGAGCTGTTCTTTGCGTTTCATGCTAATTATTAGCTGATGTTAGTATGCTGAAAATAGTGAACATCAACTGTTTCTCACTCTGTGTTCTTGTGTTCTTGTGCATCTGCATCTAGTCAAGTAAAGTCAAATACCTAGATGTGTTCACACCAAGCATGTCTCGGGGGGGGTGACTTGTGTGGACTTTAGAGAGCCAAGATCCCAGAATGCATTTCGCACCAACAGTGGAAATAGCGGGGGAGAAGACACACAACTGTAAGTTATAATACTGCTATTATTGTGTCACAGAATGCAGTTTTTAGTTGTTTAAACTCCAAATGTGTGGTCAATTTCCAAATTTTCCATTTGAAAATTTGCTATGACGTTTTCAGAGATGTGAGGTCTCGCCCGCTAACGGGACCTGCAGTCATCAACCCCCTACTCTGCACCGATTGGCTCACCCTAACTACCATAACCAACGTTGGCAACGAGTACTAACCAATCATAAATGTAGTTTACTTGAGTATTTCCATTTTCTGGTAATTTATCCTTCCACGTTTCTGAGTGAAACATTGCAACTTTAACAACATCATATTTACCTGACAGCCGTAGTTAATAGTTACTTTGCAGATTAAGATTTAACATACAAATCATATGAGGAAGGCACTGTTAAAGATTAAACTGCCTAACAGTTTATAGCAGTTAACATTAACCCCAATTCAACTAGCTACAGCAATGCAGCTTATTTTTCAATGTAGCTATTACAATGACAGCAGCCATTCTGCAGAACAAGTGCTTTTACTTTTGATATTTTACATTAATTTTACCGATGATATTGTACTTTTTGTTAAGTTAAACTTTGAATGCAGGACCTTTAACCAAAATACGAGGATTTTTATAAACTGTGGAATTGCTACTTGCACAAATGTGCAGTTTTTCTCCTCCCTTATTAATCCATATTTCCAATAAAGATGTTTTTTTAATCTTTGTAAAAATGCTCCCAAAACAGCTACGTCAGCTGAAGAAAGTGTTTCATGTTTACTAAACATTACATTATGACCCTGTATCTGACAGCCTGAAGAGCTCTTTGTCTTTCATCCCCTACTTTCTGCTGCTCTTTTCTTCCTCTCTGTCTCCCCCCCTTTTTCTGTCTCTGCTGTCTCAGGGATAAAAGCTTTTCCCAGACGTCAACAATCGATCAGACTCAATCAGTCAGGCAGCACAAAGTCAGACACACAAACTCTTTGACCTTCTTTGCTTTTACACCAGAAACAAGAATTATGGTTCAACGTTTATACAACTTCTAGTCTATAAACAGTGGTGAAAGAAGTACTCAGATCTTTTACTTAAGTAAAAGTAGTAATACTCAAAAAAAAGTAAAAGTATTAGCATCAAAATATAATAACAAAATTTGAGGAGAGGAGTATGTTGACTGTATAATTAGTAAATCAATTAAATGGCGAACTGAAACAGCAAATAGTTTGATGTTAAATATAAACAAAAAATATTGCATGTTTTGTATTCTATATAAAATTTGTTATACTAATATTTCATAGGAAATATATTATGGAAGTATGGTATCAAATATAAATATTTAGCTATTTTTATTACGACTAATTACTGAATAAAATCATGATGCGATTCACAGGGGAGGCGTGTATAAATAGAATAAAATGACTGATAAGGACTTAAATTAGTCATTAAATAATACAAATTGCATCATTATCAAAAAACTTTTCCAATGTAAAATGCTTTAAATTACCAGATTTCCATATTAAAAACATTAAAATTGAATTTAAAAAATCTGTCTTGTCATTGAAATTTGAAAAAATATTAAATTATTTAAAATATTCAGTTTTCTGATACTAGATAATTTGTTTGTATGTTTTTTCTTTGCGTACATGATTTGTTGTGTGATAAAACACTGTATAATTTACAGTATTTGTTGATAATTATTATGAATATTTTATATATATAATCCCCCTCTCACCCCTTGCAGGGTGGTATGTGTCATCCTCAAGCTCGGGTCCTCTACCAGAGGCCTGGTAGCTTCTCGTGTTCCTTCTTCTTGATGTTGCTGTCGCTTGGGATCGCCACATCTATCACTGCAGCCTTCTTCTGCTGTTTGTCGTT